CAGTACAGCGACACAGTGCCGATGCTGGAGTGGGAGTCGGAGCTCAAGTCCTCGGCGGCCAGCTACACAGGCGAGGAGGTGTACGCCGCTGAGAATGCCCATCTCGGGTGCGCCTGGCGACCCCTGTTTAGTTTTTCACCATTCGCTCGGGTACCCCAGCGTGGAGACAACCATTCTTGTATCCTCGCTGATGGTTGAAGGATCCCCGCCAAGCTGAAAGAACCAGTGCGCACCTGGCGGGTAAGTTTGCGTAATATTGGCTAGCTTCCACACGAATTTGGGTGAGTAGCTCGTGCATACAAGCGCTACTCGCGTGCGTGATGCCGACGCCGACGACGCGACATGCGTGCCATAACGGGAACGTCTATATTCCTCGTGCTTGCGTTCTTTTGCACAGGCTTGTGTTTTTTCGTTTCTGTTGTTCGTGCCGCCGAACGTTGTCACATTGTCTTTTCCAGTGCTCTGAGCGCGGTCGAGGCGTTCGCATCGGACCTCTCATTCATTTCGCAACTCTCTTCTTGCACGAGCTCTGCCAAAGATGGCGTTCCCTCTATTGCAGGGTTTCTTGCCTCTTCAGAGTTTCGGTTATTTTGTAATGGCGCGCTCGTGGCATCTCGCCGCTTTGGCTTTGGACGGTAATTTGTAAAGGCGCGGGTAAGTATGGCCAATCGGTGCCACGATTCTTGGAGAGAGGGGGTGCGTACCGGGAACGACGGACATATGCGCATCATCCGTCGGTTTTTGTCCTGGTATACAGATATACACATATGTATGCATGTGTATGTATATATATATATATATATGTATGTATGTACATATATGCACATACATATATATATACACATATATACACAAGATTGCATTGGCGCTGCGCGCCATGCACCTTGGTCCTTTGGATTTCGCACGCTCTCGGAGTGCGATCGTGCGTACATGCGCACGCACATGCGTCTATGAATGCATAGTGCATATGTACATATATATATATATACGCTTGTATGGATATGTACATGTATATGCAAATGGTCAGTGTAACTATGCGTGCGCATACACATGCGTATATCAGGCGGTAGTGGCCTGACCAGTTGCTCGTATCATCGCGCCACTAAAAGGCGCGAGGGTCTCAGGCAAACGTGGCCAGAGTACCATGGGACAGTGCGTCGCCGAGGTCAGTGTTGCGAGGACGTCCCGGGTGAAAATGGCCTGAACACCTCCGCTCAGGGGAGGGCGTGTCCGAAGTCAGCCGTGCGAGGAGGTTTCAAGCGAGGAGTGGTCTGAACACCTCTGCTCCGGGCATCCTTGAACTTAGAGTTGCGAGCAGTCGCGCGCGAAAGTGGCCGAACCACCATGGTACAAGGCACCTCCGAAGTGAGACTTGCGAGAGTGTCTCTGGCGACAGTGGTTGGAACACCTCATCTGAGAGTGTCTCGGGCCCCAGAGCTGCGATGATGTCTCAAGCGAAAACGGCGGGACCGATGCGAATCAAGGCGCATCTGAGGTCGGAGTTGCGAGCATATCTCTGGCGAAATTGAGTAGACTACTTTCCGTTATCTCTTCTTCCTCCTTCCCGTTTTCTTTTCCTCCTCCTCCCCCTCCTCCCCCTCCTCCTCCTCCTCCTGTTCCTCCCCCTCTTCCTCTCCCCCTTCTCCGCTTCTTTTTTGGTTTATTCTCCCCATCCCCGGCGGCGCGGCGCGGTGCCGCTCGGCCTCTCTGCGAGTCGAGCGGAGGAGGAGGAGGAGGACGAGGAGGAGGACGTTGCAAGTGTTCGCGCGGCCGTGAGTCCCCAGTGGGCGTTTCCCCAGCATGTATGCTGAAATCGAAGGTCCCCGACGGCCTGATCTCCGAAATGTCACAAAAACCTTGGTTCCCAACAGCGCGTCCGGATGAGATGGTGGCGTGGCCCCGACGGTTTGCATTGAGTGTTGCGAGGAGCTCAGCCGAGGCGGGGGGAGGAACATGAAGAGGATGAGGAGAAGGAGGAGGAAGAGGAGGAGGATGAAGAGGAGGAAGAGGATGAAGAGGACATATTATGTGGATATCTGGGGTGCAGCCGAGGTGTCGCGGAAGAAATCCGCAGCAGAGGCTTGGGGGAGTGAGGGGAGCTGCTTCTGCTAGACCTTTGGCGGAGCGGAACGTGAAACACCACGGGGAATTAGGATAAGGAGGAGGAGGAGGTAGAGGAGGAAGATAATGAGGAGGAGGAGGAGGCTCAGTGGGAGCTCTTGGGCCCTTCGGTGGTCTGAACGGAAAATGGCCTCGCTGCGCCGGTGGATGCGACAACGACGACGACGAAAAAGGCGACGACAAAGAGAAGGGGTAATGAGAGGGGGAGACCGCTGTGTTGGGATGTCGTGGCGCGCCTCTCGGGGCCCTCTGGGAGGCAGTTTTGAAGTGTTTTGGGGGTGTTTTGGGGTTCGTGGGATCTTTGTGGGGCCTCTTGGGGGCCTCTTGGGGGCTCCTTGGGGCCTCTTGGGAGCCTCTTGGGGCCTCGTGGGGCTCTCTCCGGGCCTCCTGGGGCCCTCTCGCGGCGGAAAATTTAGTTTCTGAACTTTTGGGCGCCCTCTTCGGTCTTTCTTGGGGCCGTCTTGGTGCTCTTTTGGGCCGTCTTGGGCGCTTCTTGGGCGGTCTCGGAGCCCTCCTGGACCGTGTTGGGGCCTTTTTGGGGTCTCTGGGGCAGTGTTGGGGCGATCTAGGGAGCCTCTTGGGCCATTGTGGAGCGTCGGCGAGCGGGAAAAGCGAGAAGGCCAAACACATCGAAAAACAGACAGGAAAATCAACACTTGTACCCTCTCGGGGCTCTCTTGGGAGGCCTCTTGGGGGTCTCTGGGGGCGTCTTGGACGCGTCTTGGGCAGTCTTAGGCCCAGATTGGGCGTCTTGCGCCGATCTTTGGGTGTCTCGGGGCCTTCTTTGGTCGTCGTGTTTTTTTTTTTCGCGTCGCACTCGCAGGACAGACGCGAAGCACTTTGCAGGAGCGCCCCAAAGGCTCGGGGAGGCCGACATTCGTTTTTTTTGGGGGGGGGGCGTGTGCCGCTTTTCCGGGGTCCCCGGCCTTGTGCAAATATATAATCAGGAATATATATATATATATATATATATATATATATGTATATATATGTATATGTATATGTATATGTATATGTATATGTTTATGTATATGTATATGTATATGTATATGTATATGTATATGTATATGTATTTGTATATGTATATGTATATGTATATATATGGACATTTCCCAAACCGTGCTCGCACTTTTGGTTTTTAATTTGGGCTGTAGTGACCAGCCCGGATTGCATGGGTCGGCTGCTGCTGCGTGGACCGCTCGTGCGCTTGGACCTCTGTGGTTTCCTGCTCCAGTGGCCCTATGTGTCGCGTGTCGACTACGGCCGTTGTTGCGTGGACCGTTCTGGCCCTGTTTGGTCCATTGTGGGTTGCCGCCCCACTTGCCCCGTGTGCTGCCAAGGGCCGTTGTTGCGAGGACCGCTATGCCCCTGCTTGGACCGCCATGTCTTGGATCGCGACGGGTATGCTTTGACCGCTATGGCTTCCCAGTGGCGTTTAGTCCCACTGGCGTGCACTGGTCCTGGCCTGGTTTTTTTCGTAGCCGTTTGGATCGCTATGGCTCCATACTTGGAGTGCCATGGGCTCCCTGTGTCACTCTCCCATGTTGGTGCTTGGACCGCAGTGGCCTGTATTTTGCTTTCGATTGATTTGAGTCAAGAAGCTTACGCCATTCCGCGGGCCCCCAGAAGAGGCGGGGAGTCCACGGTTGAGGCATCATGGGCTTCATGGGCAATATTAAGGGACTTTTGTAGGCGTCTTGGGAGTCTCTTGGGGGGCCTGGCGGAGCCTGTTGGAGGCAGGTTTGAAGCGCCATCGGGCCTGTTTTGGGACCTCGTTTGGGTCTCTTGGGGGCCTTATGGGGGTTTTTGGATTCCTCTTCTGGTCCGCTTGCCGGTTTCTTGGGGCCTTTTTCCCTTCTTCCTTGTCTCCCCCCCCCTCTTCCTCCTCCCCTCCCTCCTCTTGGACGTGCCAGTGATGTACGCGGCGTTCAATGTTTTCAGCGCAGGCTGCAGGTCTGGAGTCGTCAGTCACAGAGCCGCAGCTGCCGCCATCAGCTGCCCAATCAATCAATCCTGGGGAGGAAAGACAGGATGTTCGGTTCGTCTCTTGGGGCCCTCATGGGGCGATCTTTGGTCGTCTTGGGCCCCGCTTTGGGCCGTCTTTGAACCCCCGTAGGCCGTCCTGGGGCCTTCGCAGGGGTCTCTCGGGTAGTTTTGGGGCGGTCCACGGGGCTTCTTGGGCCGTCCTGAAGCGTCGGGAGCTCGAGAAGACGATAACCCCGGAAACATTGAAAAACCCAAGTATCACCATGAACTTTGCCTCTCGGGGCCCTCTTGGGAAGGCTCGTGGGGCGTCTGGACGGCGCCTCTGGGCGTCTTGGAGCCATCGTAAGCGTCTTGGGGCAATCGTTCTGCGATTCGGGACCGTCTTGGAACGCGTCTGAGGCCGCCCGGGGCAGACTTGGAAGCTCGGGAGCCTCGGGGGGTGCCCCGGCGAGCCCGATGCCCCCGCACCCCCTCTAATCGGAGCTCAGACCCCAGGGGAGGGGACAAGGTGGATGGGGGGCAGCCACTCATCTCACACGCTTTCTCACCTCCGGCAAGCGGTGGTCGGCGGACTCGTACGGTTCGCGATGCACACAAGGTCATCCCACACTCTTTGATCCGCGTGTCGAGAGCGCACCTCTTCCGGTCGAAGCTAAAAGGTCTTCCCACACACACACACACACGCACGGGTTTCTGTATTGACCTATACGTAGGTTTCACACGCATAGGGGTCCACACAGAGGGTTCCATACACAACACATTACTCCGTATTCTTTTTCATCAGATTGTACTGTGTGTGTGTGTGCTGTGGGTGTGGAACCACAGCTGACTCTGCCGCGAGACTATTTCATACCAGCCTAGGATCCGCCCCGGCGTATCTCCATGTGTGGATGGCCTGCTAGGAGGCGCTGGCCTTGCCAGGCAAAGCCGCCGGGTGCCACCGCATGGGCGATGGCAGTTCAGCTGAAGGCATGCAGGACCCGAGTGAAGCTATGAGTTGTTTGTCCCGTATCGGCTAGCCAATCGTCAACCGCATGCGTACGTGCCTCTCTTTAGCAGTTCAGGGCTTTCCTGAAGCACCTGAAGTGCCGAGGAATCTTTCAGAATCTTCGCTCCTCCCTTCGCGGCTTTTCAGAGCTCATGCTGATTCCGAGAGCAGGTTTCTGACGCCAACATGGAGGCTACGTTTTCGGTTGGCACTCCGGGGGAGTGGCGGCGTGCACGTCTTGGCATCTCTGCACTCGCTTGCATCGCATTTTGCTCACTTACATTTTCAGCCTGTGAGTACTTGCTCATGCGGGATCACATATAGCACATTTCTAAGCAGAGCATGCAACAAAAAACATCCGCCAGGACGTCATCGCGCCCTGGGTGTTCACCAGGATGCCAGAGGTGGCTTCCGTCGCTAGCTGCTCGTACCTTTGTTCTGAGCTCGGGCTCTTGGTTTGAGATGTAAGAGGGGCATGCGGTCAAGCATCGTGCCCCGTTGGTGCGACGCAGCGAAACATTTTGATCCTGGCCAGAAATCCCACGGAGGGCTCGTGCGAGGTGAAATTATAGGAACCGATGAGGTAGAGCAGGAGTGGAGGAGGATTAGGAGGAAGATGAGGAAAATGGGGGCGCGGGAGGGTGACGGGCGGCAGACGGGGGATGCCGGTCATGACCGGGATGCGCTGTGGAGGTGGCCGCAGGAGTGTGAGCCATCATGCCTGCATATGCTTCTACTGGTAGGCCACCCCTTCTTGGCGACCACATGGTCGCAGCTGTCGGCTCCTCGGGCGCGGTGGCCGCTGCGTCGCCGTGCCGCCCACGGCACGGGCCCGTGGGCCCGAGCGCGGCAGAACGCAGAGGCCGTGGGTGGGCTTTGCTTCGTGGCAGCCGCTGCGCCAGGTCGTACCTTGGCCCAGTCCGCCGCGCAAGCCTGCCAGATATGTACCCCCTTGGCGTCACTGCGACTGCTGCGTGGCGCAGCAGGCTGGGCCTTCGCTCACGAGCAACCGATCTGGCAGGGCGAGCCTCACGGCACATGCTTGCACAGTCTTTGGTGTCTGGGTCCTTTTCGTTCCCTATATCTTCGAGAGGATCCACAGGGCAGACGAGATCTGTTTGATGGGGGTGCAGTGGTGCTTGCTGCGGCTCAGGCGATGGCAGGCTTCGCCCCCGCGCGAGTGTCGTATCGTTCCTTCTTGCTGCGCTTGGTGTTCCCCCCATCGTTCGCAAACCGCACTGCAAGTATCATCATGCGGGGCTCCACCCCTGTTTCGTTAGCGCGGGTGCTACATTGATGGCGGGGGCTTCGGCCGTTAACGCTAATATCGTGACGCCAGACTTCGTATGGGCAAGACCCCAGTCTTAGTACCTGTTGTCCCTTGAGGGTAGACTGCAGCTCTTATGACCTTGCCTTGGCACCTTTGGTTTTGTTCGTCTGGGCAACAACATGCGTATTCCAGGCGCCTGCGGCAAATGCGCCACCGTACCGTGCCAGCGAAGCACTTCGTGTGGTGACCCTTCGAGCACCGCGCAGGAGGCCGTCGCGTGTGACACCTCCCGGCTCCACTTCTTGAGGAGCTTTCAGGAAAACAGTTTTGCCGTCTTGGGGCTGTCTTGGTCTCCCATGGGGTAGTGTTGAGGGGTCTTGGGGCCGCCTTGGGTCGTCTCGGGCCGTTTCGGGGCCCTACTGGGTCGTCTTGTGGCTCTTTCAACAGTTTAGGGGGTCTCTTGAGGCCGTCGTGGTCCTGTTGGGCCAGCTTGGGGCTTGCTTGGGGCTTGCTTGGGTCTGTCCTGGGCCGACTGAGGGACCCTCTTGGGACTCAGCGGGGCCCCGTGGACCTTTGAAGACCGCAAATGGACCATTCTTCGACCGACGAGCGTGGAAAGCGAGGCACAGTTACATAAACACATTGAGAGCCTCGTGGATAGCGTGTCTTGGGGTCTGGGGTCCTCTTGGGGATTGTTGGTTGTCTCTTGGGACGTTGTTGTGCCATCTTGGCGGCCTTGGTGCCCTCCCTCGGCCATCGTCCAAGCCTTCGAGAGCTTCAGGGAGCGCCAGGGAATCGTCGGGGCGTTTATGAGCCCTCGGGAGGGGGTGGTATTGCATGCAACTGACGTGCAACGGGCCATAGGGGAAGCACATTCACACGGCGCGTCCGAGCCAATGAATGGATGCAAAACGGCAATCGGCGGCGAGCAAAGGGGGAAGTGAGAATGAGGAGGCCTTCTCCTACGGCGGCAGGGCTTCTCAGAAACCCCAGCGGCGTCTGAGAAGTCTTCTGTATTTCCTCGGGGCAGGCGCAGAAAAACTTGTTAGAGGGCCGGTGATTCCCCAGCCTTCTGAGCAGGCCCGCCCCCTCTCACCGACCGCCTGCTGGCAGCCGTTGCTGCAACCGCCTGTGAACCAGCCAGCGGGCGGGGCCGCTCTGCGGCCAACTGCTCCGCCGTGAGGCACGACGCGCTCTCCGCTGCGCTTGCGGTGGCGGCGCGAAGGCGCGTAGCCAGGATGTCTGGACGTCAGGAGCCTCTCCCCCCCGAGGTTGGCCGCCGAAAAACGGCAACAATATTCAGGGAGGGCAGGAGTGCGGAGAGCGACCGCGGGGTGGGGGAACGACCAGCGGGCGGCGCACTCAGCCCGTGCGGGTCTTCAGCGCGGTGTGGTGCCCTCCGGCTCTGTGGCTTGGCGTCGTGTGAGGGGACATGCTTGGGCGGGGGAGCAGCATAGGGCGGATTCGCTAGGAGGCACAGGGGAGGTGGTCGTCCGCGAGACGGCCATAGCACGGGGGAGTGGAACATGCACGCTGTGCTGTCCCGGAGGGGTGACCTGCAGACTGGGGGATCGGACGTGGGTGTGGCGGTTTCCTACGAGAGGCGCACGAACTTGCTGGAACCCAGGGCCGCAGGGCGCGAGGGCGGCTACAGGCCAGACAGCGACGACGATGACGACGGCGACGGCGACGGCGACGGCAACGACAACGACGACGACGACAACGACGACGACGACGTCGACGGCGACGTCGGCGGCGGCGGCGGCGGGTGCGTCGACGACGACGACGACGATTACGACGACGACGACGACGAGGACGAGGACGACGACCACCACCATCACCACCGCCACCACCACCATCACCATCATCATCACCACCACCACCACCACCACCACCACCACCACGCCCACCACCACCACCACCACCACCACCAGCAACACCACCACCACCACCGCTGTCACCACCACCACCACCATCATTATCACCACCACCACCATCACCACCACCACCACGACCACCACCACCACCACCACCACCACCACCACCACCACCACCACCACCACCACCACCACCACCACCACCACCACCACCACCACCACCACTACCACTTCCACCACCACCACCACCACTACCGCTTCCACCACCACCACCACCACTTTCACCACCACTTTCACCTCCACTTTCACCACCACCACCACCACCACCACCACCACCAACACCACCACCACCACCACCACCACCACCACCACCACCACCACCACTTTCACCACCACTTTCACCACCACTTTCACCACCACTTTCACCACACCACCACTTTCACCACCACTTTCACCACAACTTTCACCACCACTCTTCACCACCACTCACCACCACCACCACCACCACCTACCACCACCACCACACCCACCACCCACCACCCACCACCACACACCACCACCACCACCACCACCACCACCATCACCACCACCACCACCCCACCACCCACCACCCACCACCCACCCACCCACCCACCCACCACCCACCACCCACCACCCACCACCACCACCACCACCACCACCACCACCACCCACCACCACCCCACCACCCACCACCACCCACCACCCACCACCCACCACCCACCACCCACCACCCCCACCCACCACCCACCACCCACCAACCACCACCACCACCACCACCACACCACCACCCCACCACCCCACCACCACCACCACCACCACCACCACCACCACCCCCACCACCACCACCACCACCACCACCACCACCACCACCACCACCACCACCACCACCACCACCACCAGAACGTGCAGAGGCAGTACGGCTGTCTGATCACGGTTGCCTGGGGTTCACCGCTTACTGCCACCCGTGTCGTTGGCTTTCCCGGGGGCCACAACACATGCGTGCGTCGATTGTCCGGCTTTCGGTCGGGAGGTGCATGCCTCAGGGGGCGTTATTGTTTTGCGTTGTTGCCATCGAGTGTGACCGTTCGCGTGAGTGGTGTTTGCGATTGCCCTCGGGGGGGTACTTTTGCGTGCCTGCGTTTGGAGCTAGCCGTTGCCGTGCTCGATCGCGACGCCCCTCCTGGGCCCCAAACTGCTCCACCGAAGATATGCAGTCACTGGAAACCGAAGTCTTCGGTGGCGTGGGTTGGCCTGTTCGTCACCTCCTGTCTGTGTCCTGGGCCCCCGCCGATGTTCCAGTGGCTGGGGCCTGCGCGCGCCCCCGTCCCCGCATATCTGCCAAACGTTGCGAGGCCCCATCCGGGTTTTCAAAAACGGCTTCCTCTGGGCAAGAAAACGTGTGAGGGGTGTGAAAAACGCAGGCGGATCTGGACAGTCAGCGAGATGCCAGGCGAGTTGCCAAAATGGGCTTTGGGACGTACGCGGGTCCTTCTAATTTGGGGGATATATTTTTTTTTGTTGTGGCCACAGTGTGTGGAAAAGGGTTCGCTTGGATAGAAGGCAACAGATGATGGCGAACACTTGCGCCACTGAGGCCTTCGCCAGAGGTCCCTGAGGGGCCACGTCTGTCGTGAGGGCCCCACTGGTCTGGGCCGGGGGAACGCAGGCGGGCCTTGACACAGTGCTTTGGTGGAGGTTTCTGGCGGGCTCCGAGCGCAAGACGTGGCTCCCACAGGTGGCTCCCGCAGGTGCCTGACACTGTCTGGGCCTGGGAGCGATCGCCTCCCCTCCCCAGCCCTTCCTTCCGGGGCACGACCGCGGCGCAGGCCCACTTCTAGAGGATCCCGCCCCCGAGGGAGAAACAACAAACATTACACAGGGACGTGCCCAACCCTTTGGCAACAAGTGGCATTATCAACTGGCGCTTTCAAAATAGCTGAACATCCGCTGGGCGTCCACGAGGCCCACGAAAGCGACGACCATTGCATTCTTGGCAGTCGCCGCGCTTGAGGGTCAAGTGGTGTACTTCGCTGAACGAAGAATCAGCGCACCGCGCTCTCTTCAGGGACAGCGCTGCGCACTGCGCTACAGGACGGCGCCGCGCGACCGATCAGCGAACAGCGCTCTGCGCTCGATCCTGGTGTCCACGTACTGCCTGCGCCAGGGCCGCGCCTTCTTTACCTCCCTCCGCGCTTTCCTCTGCCACGGAGCCCAGGAGCTCACGAAAGGACCGACA